ACAACCTGCTAAGCGTCAGTCAGCTGATGGCGAAGGGCATACATCTCGAGGCAGACAGCACCACTCAGGAATTTAAATTATACCACGGCAAGGGTGGACTCTACATCGGCAAAGCAGTATTGAAGAATAACGTCTTCGTCCTCGACTTCGTTCCAGATCTCGGCACTGCCGACAGCGACGGGATTGTCACCTTTACTTCTTGGACACATCCACCGGATCTTGATCCTGACTTCAGTCCAGAAGGCTTCTGGTACTCGCACACCATCCCTGAAGCAGAACGAACAAGAGCATTAGCAACGATTCAACACTCGACAGCAGCAGAAACAACATCGGCAGCAGCAGAAACAACATCGGCAGCAGCAGAAACATCGACAACACCTACAACACCAATCGCAAGTTCTTCAACGACATCGCCGCACATTGACAATACCTCACCGTCTCCCGCACAGCAGCTAACTCCCACTCCTCGCGAAGTTCACAGAAGCGCCAACTTCACCGCCGCTTTTTACTCCAACTCCGACCTGTATCGTCGTTCACCCGGACATCGCGCCAGCGAAGATATCTGGCACGCACGAATGGGACATCCAAGCAATACAGTGTTAAACAACACAATCAGAGCAGGCGTTCTCGACAAAGATTCACTACTTCTAACCGACGGAAGTGAGCTACGACGAGCACGAGGAACGTGTCTTACCTGCCCCGAAGCTGAATTACCGCATCGACCTTTCACTTCTCATCACAACCCCAGCGCACCAGCTTACGCACCACTTGAGAAGGTGTACAGCGATATTCTGTACAATCGCGAACCCGGACAAGGAGCATACAGTTATACCATCACGTTCATCGATGCAGCTACACGTTACGTATGGCACCTCAATCTTCCGAGCAAGGACATGGCCTTCGAAGCCTTCATCGCTTGGCTCCCAGTAGCAGAACGAGAATCGGGCGAGAAACTGAAGAGCTTTCAGTCAGACGGAGGAGGAGAATACACCTCACAGAGGTTCAAGCAGTTCTTGGCAGAAAAGGGAATCAAGAGGCTCATCTCGCTTCCTTACGCCCATCAACAGCAAGGCGTGGCGGAACGGATGAATCGAACTCTCCAGAACACCATGCGCAAGTTACTGCGTGGCATGCGACTGCCCAATCACCAGTGGCCTGAAGCGATGGACCACGCTGTCATGCTGCACAACTTGCTTTCGTCATCGTCACTACCGAACAACGCATCACCGCACCTGCTGTGGACAGGAAAACATGGCAGCACAAAAATGTTAAGAGTTTTCGGCTGCATAGTACAGTACCGACCCCCATCTGCACGAGCCGGTCGATTTTCCCAACGAGCACAGTGGGGACTACACCTGGGCATCGAGAAAAATTACAACGCGTGGAAGATTTTCGACGTCCACTCCAAAGAAACAGTAGCAGCACGTGACGTCCTTTTCTACGAACGACTCACCCTTCCGACATACCTTGCCAACCTGGAAGAAAATCAGGATCCCACAGGTGGCTTCCTTGGTGATCGACACTTCGCCTCGGCAGCAGACGAAGCTGACTGGGACGAGCAGAATGTGGATAACGCCTCAGACGAAGCAGGACCACTCCCTTACTGCTCCGTGCCCATCCCGATGGATGACGAAAATCCTCGCGAAAGCGTCAATGCCGAAACATATTTCGACCTCGCCGACACTGGTTACGTTACACCTGCAGAAGTCAACACCAACGAAGCAGAACGCGTAGGGCCTAATTTCATACCTGACCCAGAAGCCGGTGACGAAGCAGCTTATCCCGCGGACACAACACTCCCCCGCTACACACCGAGTGGACTTCAAATACTTGGTCTCATCACCGCGGTCCACGGCACGGATCCTCCTAAGGAGCCTGCCACAGTTCAGCAGGCTCTGGGGGGGGAGCATAGGGAAAAATGGCGTGAAGCCATGGACAAGGAATTGAAAGCACTACAGGAGCGCAACACCTGGAAGGTTGTTCCTATTGGCGTGGCACGAAACAAGACGATACTCACCGGGAAGTGGGTCTTCCGTGTGAAGACGAAAGCAGATGGCACCATCGACAAATTCAAGACACGCTGGGTCGTACGTGGCTTCGACCAAGAGCACGGACGCGATTTCACTGAGACATTCGCACCCGTTAGTCGACATACTTCACTACGAATTCTTCTCGCGGTCGCCGCTATGAAAAAGAAGAAACTGCGGCAAATCGACGTCGCCAATGCTTTTCTCTACGCACCCGTCGACGCAGAAATCTACGTCGAACTTCCACATGGTTCTCACGGAGAGCCCAATCAAGTCTGTCAACTGCAAAAATCTCTGTACGGGATTAAACAGGCCCCGAGACTGTGGCAGCAGTACTTACACACTCGGCTCACTCGCATCGGATTCAAGCAGCTGCCGCACGACCAAGGCATGTATCGATTTACGAAAGACGACGACTACATTCTACTGATCGTCTACGTAGACGACCTACTCTACATCGGATCAACCGACAACGTTACTACCTGGTTCGAAAGGGAGCTACAAAAGGATCTCACCCTCACGGTATCATCTACCGTCACGCAATACCTCGGCCTCAACATCCAAGAAGGAGAAAACGCAATCTATCTCAACGCCGCAAAGTATGCCGACACCATCGCCAAACGGTTCGCACTCACGCCAACTACCATCTCTACGCCATACCGCTACACGGCAGGAAATGACAAAGCAGAATCTGCTCCACTGAAACCCGCCGACATACGCAACTACCAGAGAAAGCTGGGATGCCTTCTCTTCGCGGCCGTCACCTGCCGTCCAGACCTATCTTACTCAGCAAGTCAACTCGCCACCTACCTCAAAAGACCTGAAGACGAACACATGAAGGAGCTCGATCGCGCTTTACACTATCTCGTAAGCACCCCGACGATCGGCCTAATCTACTACAAGAATATAACTACAACGCCCAAGCTAATCGGCTACGTCGACGCCGATCACGCCGGAGATCCTGACAACAGGCGCTCGCGCACAGGCTACATCTACCGTCTTGAGCCTATCGGACCTATTTCGTGGCAGTCGAGCAAACAAGAATTAATCGCCCTCTCCTCAGCTGAAGCTGAATATATCGCACTCTGCTCAGCCACCAAGGAAGGACTTTACCTTCGCGAACTTCTGGAGGAAGCGAAGCTGGCCCAGTTACCCAGCTTCTCCTTATTTTGCGACAACCAGTCGGCAATTCGCATCGCCAACAAAAATGGATTCGCGAACAGGACGAAACATATCGCCCTGCGATATTTTTTCGTAAAGGACGAGATCAAAAAGGGAAGACTTGAACTGTCTTACTGCCCCACATCCGAGATGGCAGCTGATTACTTAACCAAGAAGCTCGGAAAGTCGAAGTTCGAATATTGCATGCTGCTGACTGGACAGAGCCACGTCACCTGCAGCGACACTCCAGAAGCGAAGGGGAGTGTTGGAAACAACTGATTTAAGCGCCTCTGTCGTGTCGAAACACCAAGACAGAAGCGAAGCAGATCGTATCGAAACATCGGTGAGTCAACCCTCGGAGGTTGAATAACTGTTGGAGGTTACGCGAAAGTCAAAGGTCAGCGACCTTTGACCTGACAAATGCAGCGCGACAGCAAGGACAAACAACTGTCTTGATACTGAGCAGTTGCCCGAGTCGACACTGTATCGAACCGCAACAGCAACAGTAAAACAGTTATCAACTGTATCTCTTCATATTCCTTTGTATTCTTATAAAAGCTTGTATCTCTTTTGTTTAATCAACTTACTTTGCCCTCACATACAAGCGCAAGGTGGTTCACAATCCTTTATTAAACGCTTCCGCTACTACCGTATCACCCCGGATAGAAGCGCAGGCCTATTATAAGCGCATGCGCTTCTATCTGGAGCAATGCGCTTATGGCCGATCCTCAATTATAAGCGCACCCCCTGTGAAAACGTTACTTATTATAAGCGCATGTACAATTTTAAATTAAAATTTCTGTTCGAAACGGTAGCGAGTTTCAATTTTGAAGCGAGTACAATCTCATTTTCGCTGAGTTTGACTCTCGAAGACCTGACTGGCTGCGCGTCCAGTCAGGATGTGCTGGCATGACTGCAAAGTGTCGCATCTTGGCCCCTGTGTGCTGGAAGAGAATCGCTTGCAGGAGATTCTGCATTGTGACGCGAAAATTTTTGACTCGGTTGAAATGGCAAGAGTGAAACATACAATTTGGTGCCTTCAATTTATAAATTCGTATATGTCATTATATAAGCGCATGCGCTTATAAAAATGACTCAATTAGAAGCGCACCCCCCTAAAAAACTCTGCTTTATTATAAGCGCAGGTGCGCTTCTATCCGGGGTAATACGGTACATCATCCTACCCTTGAGTTCTGCCCTGCAAAGATCCTAAGGGCTTTTTCAGCCCAACAAGATCAAGTATTGAAGTAGGGATGTTGTAATTGCGGAAGCGTTGTAATATCAGAGTTGCTTGAACCACCTTGCACTAGTATGTGAGAACAAGATAAGTTAATTAATAGCAGGGAAATACAAGGCTTTTATATGATTACAAAGGAATATGAAAGGTTATACTTTTAACTGTTTTGTTGTTGCGGTTCGATATATTGCCGACTCGGGTAACTGCTCAGTAACGAGTCAGTTATGTGTCCTCCTTGCTATCGCACTGTACTTTTCGTCAAGTCAAAGGTCAGCGACCTTTGACCTTCGCGTAACCTCCAGCGGTTGCTTCTGTTGACTCGTGTTGCTTCACTGTAGTCTGCTTCGACTCGTGTCGATAGTTCGAAACTTCAGAAGCGTTTAAGTTATTGTTTCCAACAAATATTACTGTGGTTGGTTTTGACAAGGTGCTTGCCATTCTATTTACCGCCATGATAGACACTACCTACCAGTTACTGTGATCCATGTGCCAGTAGTCAAGGCGGATTAGAGATTTGGTTTGGTCCTCTGTAACACATCGCAATCCACTATCTTATCCAGTACAATAGATCAACCTCAAGCTCCCATGCCGTTACCGTTACACATTCGAAAGCACACCATGTTTGACTGCTGCAGTAGACGCAGAGCCGCGTCACACCTCTCCTCCCACCGCCCAGCATTCACCCCCCGATCATGCTGCAGACCAGCCTTTTCATACCCATGAGCATCAAGCGTTTCTCTAAGCTCTAAATAGGCCTGCACCACTAAAGCCATGCCACCAGCACACGTGAATTCCTCACCCCCTGCCACCCCTTTTCCACCTTCCCTCCCTCTCCCCCTTGCCTTGTCCGCGCACACCCGAGCCTCTGCAAGGTCGCCCTTCATGGCATGCAGAGCAGCCAAATTCACATACACACTCTCCCTCCACTCCCTCCATTTTCCCCCTCTGCCTGCTGCTGCTGCTCCTGCGGCTCCTCCTGCTGCTGCTGCTGCGCCTGATGCTCCTCCTGCCGACCCTGCGCCAGCTGCAGGAGGCGAAGCTTCCAGGAACTCGACAAGGCACTCGGAGAGAAGGCTCAGGGCGTCGGCAGGGCGGCCCAGAAGACAAAGTGCCTCTGCTGCAAACATTCGGAGGGCGCTGCGCTGCCACGGGTCTGAGCTCCTGTCAGGGCTGACAGGTTTCTGTGAGGTAAGCTGTGTGCGTGGGTCGTTTGCAGTGTGAGGGGGAGGGTTGTTGCGGGTGTTGAGCAGGGAGAGGGCGTGTTGGGCGGTGGCAAGGCAGGCGAGGTGGTTGAGGAGGGAGAGCTCGACCCACGCGAGCTGGCACAGGGCTGAGAGGAGAAGGCGACGGTGGGCGGAAGGAAGGAGAGGTGGGGGAGTGAACGGCTTCTGGCTGCTGCTGCTGCTACCGCTGCTGGTGCTGCTGCTGGTGGTGCTGCTGTTGACGGTGCTGGCGGCGCTGGTATGAGGGGGGTGGGAGAGCAGCAGACGGATGGCGTTCTTGAGACACATGCGCGCCAGGGGAAGGGGTTCCAGGCCCAGAGAGGACGGCAGAGAGAGCGAGAACGGCAGCGGCTGCTTAGAATGGCCGGATCCCGCTCTGTCTGTACTGACTGTTGCGTCACTGGTGGTACCGCCGCTGCTGGTGCTGCTGCTGCTACCGGCAGCAGTGCCAACATGGTGCCTAGGAGGATTGGCTGATGATGCTTCTTGCTTTCCTGAATCGCTGTGAGGGCCCGGTCCTGCCTCCCCTCGCACTCGCTTCGCCATGAGATCAGCAAGCCCACTGAGGGCCGTCGATGCGCCTGCTCCAGCGCCATCGAGAGCCGTCGATTTGACTGTAAAGCTTCTGACCGTGCTTTCAGCGTGAACCCCTGTTTCTGACTTGACTTCGGATCCGTCGCCGCGCGTGCCAGCTGGCAGCAGGACATACTGCCACGTGTCCTCGTTCCTTCCGCCGCTCATCACAGTCACCGTCATGCTGCTGGATCTAAGTGAGCCTTGCTGCTTCTGATTATCGCTCCGCTGCTGCTGCTTTCGATGATCATCCTGCTCCTCTTTCTGCTTTTCATTATAATATCTTTCCTCCTCTTGCTGCTGCTGGTGGGTGAGAATGCAGCACTCCGCCAGCCGCAGCCACAACAGCGGCCAGTCACAAAAGACGCGCGAAACCTCCTGGAAGCATCGCGCGGCCTTGACGGGATCGCCGCTGAGCAGCATCTGCAGGCCGAGCTGGTACACCAGCCGCGCCGCGTCGCCGTTATTCCGTGCAAGCTGTGCTGACGTGTCGCGGCTGCGGGACATTGCTTCCACGTCGGCACATTTTCTGGCGAGACTATCACTATCCATTCACCTCGAATCTGTGATCTTTCTGCGCTGTCGACACAAAGCTTAGAGCAGCTCTAAAGTCGCGCTTCGAATCTCTAAATTCGCCGACAGGTATAAGCGCTGTTTCACTAGCCAATTGTTGACTACGCCCCACCCCTCGTCGTAGGACTCTTGTCACGCACTCAGGGTTTCGAGGTGTCTTTTGAGTCTTAACTCAAAAGTCGCCCCACGCCTCGTCGCAGGACTCTAGTTACGCACTCAGGGTTTCGACTGGGGCCCCTTCAGGATTCTCAGCTGCGACAACTCGCGCTTGGCCCCAAACCGGACCGAACTGGACTCTCGTGTCAATGAACCCAGGAAAACCCGAACCGCGATAACTTCGAAAGTACCGAACTTTCATTGCCCACCTCTCGCCCTAGACTAGATTCCCTAGGACTCCTAGTATCCCAGCCAGGTGTTACATAGTCTCGAATCGAGGTGCGATGCGATTTCTAGGTGCTTGATTGATGTAGGGTTCTGATTGGATTTATTCTGATGGTGTGATGTGCTTCATTGAGTTGGCTGAATCAAAGTTGCGTAAATTTTAGCTTGAACTTTTACAAGAATCTTATAGCCGAAAACTGATGGTGCTTCAAGCGTGGATTTTTCCTAGCCAACGCAGAATATTTCACCTCCTCCGCCGCAAAGCTTACGGATACTATTGGCCTCGCGGTGCGCTGACGTGGCACAACTGGTTGAGTGCCCACTAAGGAATTCTTCTGCTTTACCTCCTAGACCCCAACTGCACGCCAACTGTAGAACAGAACGCCCTCCAGTTCTCAAGCACTCAGCGATTTTATCAAAGTCACATTCAGCGCCAACGAAACTTCCCACTCGATCCGTATCTGATCCGCATCGCATCGTATCGTTGCTCTCCTGAAACACCACGTCACAGTAGAGCACTAGATAATTACCAAGACATCAGCAGCCAATAGCGCCTCCGCAGGCGGATTTTTTTTTTTGAGAATTCTCAAGATTCGCACTCATGACTCTCCTCGCCGTATGCCGCCGTGCTACCAGCATTTGCTGTACTTCCGGAGCAGTCTCTCCGCTATGTTGTTATAATAACGGAGCGTGTAGTACCGGGGCGGTGTTTCTCCAGTTGACTCGCGCCTGTTCCTATAGCGGCGGTTTGTCCTCCCTCGGCTTGAAGCTCCACCGTAGTAGCCATAGCTGCGTGGCGACTCAACGCCACGTGGCTCGCGTATCCGTAAATGCCAGCTCATCTGCCAGCTCAGCAGCGACCGTGTCCACGTCTGCCACGTCAGCAGCCCCCGTGGCGCTAGACCCGTCGTACGGGAGTAAGGAGGTGATTAAAGTCGACTCGCGCGTCTACCAATACATCCTGGAGCACACCCGAGAACCCGAGGTGACTATAAGGAGTGTGACTGTAAGAGGTGATATTGTGTGAATAAGACGTGACTGTAACAGGCTCTCTGAAGGGCTTCTGGAAAGATTGTTGTTCGTCCCCCCTCCACTGTACTCTCCTCTTCTCATACTTCCACTCTCACTCTCACACTCTCCGTCCCGTCCTTTCTTGACCCTAATCGTGCCCACTACCCTTGCACCCTACCCATGCCCCCTGCCTTTGTCCCCCTGCCTTTGTCCCCCTGCCTTTGTCCCCCTGCCTTTGTCCCCCTGCCTTTGTCCCCCTGCCTTTGTCCCCCTCCTTTGTCCCCCTGCCCTTGTCCCCCTGCCCTTGTCCCCCTGCCCTTGTCCCCCTCTACTTCCAATCTCCTCTTCCCATCTCCCGTTCCGATGTCATCTCATGTCATCTCCTCATGTCATCTCCCCATGTCATCTCACGTCATCTCTTCATGTCATCTCTTCATGTTGTCTCCCCATGTCATCTCCCCATGTCATCTCTCATATCATCTCCCCATATCTTTCCCCCATGTCATCTCCCCATCTCCAAATCTCCTCTCCCCATGTCCGCTGCCCTTGTCCCCCTGTCTGCCCTACCCTGTCACATGTTGTGCAGATTCTAGCCGAGCTGAGGAGGAAAACCGCCACCATGATAGGCAAGGAGATGCAGGTGGGGAGTTTGGTTGTGATTTATACCCGATATAAGCAAGGGGAGGTCTTGTACCCATTATAAGCAGGTGCAGAGTGCAGATTCTAGCCGAGCTCAGGAGGAAAACCGCCACCATGATAGGCAAAGAGATCCAGGTGAGGCATTACGATATAAGCAGGAGGTGGTCTTCTACCCGCTATAAGTTGAATAACCATGCAAATAATCAAAAGGTTGTTTTGTCCCCGCTATAAACACCCTTAAAGAATGAAGTTGCGCTCAAGAAAGAAATCGCCACCATGATAGGCAAAGTGATGCAGGTGAAGGGTCACGTCCCTCCCTCCCCTCCCATCCCATCCTCATCCCATCCCATCCCATCCCATCCCATCCCATCCCATCCCATCCCATCCCATCCCATCCCATCCCATCCCATCCCACCCCACCTGTTCTACCACCCTCCCTGCAGGTGTCCTCGGAGCAAGGAGCATTCCTGGAAATGCTGGTGCGGCTGATGGGATGATGGGACCAAGGCGGGTAGTGTGGCTGTGCACACATACACTCATGCTCTTGTGTGTCTGTCTGTCTGCCTGCCACCATCCCTGCAGGTGTCCCCAGAGCAGGGAGCGTTCCTGGCCATGCTGGTGCGGCTCATGGGAGCCAGGCGCTGCATTGAGCTGGGCGTGTACACCGTGAGTAGTAGGCTTGAGCTGTTGCGGTGTGCTGCGGTGTGCTGCGGTGTGCTGTGGTGTGCTGCGGTGTGCTGCAGTGCTGTGGGATGAATCTTTCATGCATTGAGGTGGGCGTGTCAACAGTGAGGCCTCTGTTCTGTATGAGCTGCTATGGCAGCCCGCCTGTGGCGAGGTGCTATGGTTGTTGTGGCTGCACTGACATGACTTGATGGAAGCCAGGCGCTGCATTGATCTGAGCTGGGTGTGTGTACATGGTGAGCCTTGCACTGCTTCTTGATAATTCCAAAGAATCTCTCATGGTGAGCCTTGTGGTGCTGCGGTGCTGCGGTGCTGCATTTAGCTGGGACTCTTTATGCATTGAGCTGGGTGTGTTGTGTACACAGTGAGAGTTCGGACCGTTGCTGCTGCAAATTGTTGAAATGTGTTGCAATGTGTTGCAATGTGTTGCAATGTGTTGCAATGTGTTGCAATGTGTTGCCATGTGTTGCAATGTGTTGCAATGTGTTGCAATGTGTTGCCATGTGTTGCCATGTGTTGCAATGTGTTGCCATGTGTTGCAATGTGTTGCCATGTGTTGCAATGTGTTGCCATGTGTTGCCATGTGTTGCCATGTGTTGCAATGTGTTGCCATGTGTTGCAATGTGTTGCAATGTGTTGCCATGTGTTGCCATGTGTTGCCATGTGTTGCCATGTGTTGCCATGTGTTGCCATGTGTTGCCATGTGTTGCCATGTGTTGCCATGTGTTGCCATGTGTTGCCATGTGTTGCCATGTGTTGCCATGTGTTGCCATGTGTTGCCATGTGTTGCCATGTGTTGCCATGTGTTGCCATGTGTTGCCATGTGTTGCCATGTGTTGCAATGTGTTGCAATGTGTTGCCATGTGTTGCCATGTGTTGCCATGTGTTGCCATGTGTTGCCATGTGTTGCCATGTGTTGCCATGTGTTGCAATGTGTTGCCATGTGTTGCAATGTGTTGCAATGTGTTGCCATGTGTTGCCATGTGTTGCCATGTGTTGCCATGTGTTGCCATGTGTTGCCATGTGTTGCCATGTGTTGCCATGTGTTGCCATGTGTTGCCATGTGTTGCCATGTGTTGCCATGTGTTGCCATGTGTTGCCATGTGTTGCCATGTGTTGATTGGTTTTCCCCCTTCCATTCCCCGGCCCCCTTCCCTCTCCTGCTCACCTCCTCTTCCCCCCTGCTCCATGGCTGTTCGTGCTTACGTTTTGGTGCTAGCTACATCCAGAGAGGTGTGCTGGATAGGTGTGCTATCCCGTTTGTTTCATCCCTTTTTGAGTCGACTAAAAAAAATACAGAGGTGTGCTACAAACTCTTGCCCTCACCTTTTGTGTCTCTCGACCCTCCCTCTTGTGTCTCTCGACCATTCCCCTTGTGTGTCTCGACCATCCTCCCCCTTGTGTCTCTCCCCAGGGCTACTCCTCCCTCTCGGTCGCCCTCGCTCTCCCCGCAGACGGTCTGCTAGTGGCTTGTGAGAGGGTGTCGCACACGTTTGCAGTGGCCCAGCGATTCTACGAGAAGGCAGGCGTGAAACACAAGGTACGTGGGACTCTCGTGACGGCTGATGCGTGATTGATGAGTGTAACAAGGGGTGAAGCTCAAAGGTGTCTTTTGAGGCGCCTAAAAAAAAATTGCGGGTAATGAGACGACCTTTGAGGCGCCTCAAAAGGCTGATGCGTAATTGATGAGTGTAACAAGGGGTGAAGCTCTAAGGTGTGTGTGTTTCACTTGTGAGAGCTGACACACTGCCAGGTGGACCCGCGGCTGGGTGTCGCACAGGACATTCTGCAGCAGCTGCAACCTCTCCCTCCCTTTGCTCCAACACGCACTTGCTACCCTCCGTCCTTCCCTTGCTTGCCCCCACACGTCTCGCCCCACACCACCAGGTAGACCCGCAGTTAGACCCGGCACAGGACACGCTGCAGCGCTTCCCGTTTCCCTGATTTTGCATTCCCCTTCCTTTGCCCTTTCACGCCCCACACACCACCAGGTAGACCCGCGGCTGGGCCCGGCACAGGACACGCTGCAGCAGCTGCTGGAGGAAGGGCAGGCAGGCAGGTGAGAGCAGAGGCAGGCAGGCAGGCGAGAGGAGAGGCATAGCCGTTTGCCACCAACTTCACATCATGAGAGGAGTCACGTGGACAGGTGTGGCTAGCTGTTTTTTAAGAATTCTCAGCAACCAGCTGTGCCTCTTCTCAGCGAGGAGTCACATGGACGCATTGTGTATAACCGTCATTATTATGGGTCCGACAGCTTCGAGTGTTTTCCTTTCTGAGTGTTTATATATATGTATATGTATATGCATATGTATGTGTATATGTGTATGCATATGTGTATGTATATGTATATGTATATGTATATGTATATGTATATGTATATGTATATGTATATGTATATGTATCTGTATATGTATATGTATATGTATATGTGTATGTATATGTATATGTTATTATGTATTTGTATATGCCTTTCCGAATGCAATCTTCTGTGTCAAGGTTTCGCCACTACCAGTACCACCACCACCACCACCGTGTGTGTCACTGCCCAACGAATGCATGGACACCTTGAGAATCGTGTCAAAAGTCACCCACCCCGTCCCGATTCTCCACGGATCATTCCAGCTTTGACTTTGCTTTTCTGGATGCGGACAAGCGCATGTACCGAGAATACTACGAGCTGCTTCTCACCCTTGTGAGTCCAATTTTGATTGACCCAAAAAGCAAATGTACCGAGAATACTATGCGGTGCTGTGCTCCCTTGTGAGTCGAGTTTTGTTAATTGATTTCACGCCTCAACATATCTATTGTTACTTAACTAGAGCCTCAACGCACTTACTTGAGATGCACCTTCATTTGTTTTTCAAGTGATGTAGTTTGTACCATTCCCTGACTGACGCCTATCCGCTCCGTGAACACGCTCCAGTGACAATGTTTCCTCTAATAACATGGTTCAATTCCACGCATGCCTCTATGGGATGTTATGTTACCATGCTGCTAATGACGTCGTTGATCTGGCTGTGGATTTTGGTGATGTGTCAAATCTCAGCTGTCTAATCTGGCTCATGTCCCGCCCCGCAAACACCCCAATTCGCCATGTAGCTGGATATGTCTCCATGCATGGTGCATGCCTCTATGGGATCCATGCTACCATTCTGCTAATGTCGTTGACCTGGTTTTGAGGCGCCTCAGAAGTTGTCCCGTCCTGCAAACACCCCAATTCACATGAAGCTGGATATGTCTCCATGCATGATGCATGCCTCTATGGGATCCATGCTGCTATTCTGCTAATGACTTTGTTGACCTGGCTGTATATTTTGGTGTTGTTTCAGCCCTCACATGCTCAATGAGGCCGATAACCCAAAAAGATGAGAATAATCATATTATTCCTCACCTCATCACAACCCTGCTATCCTCCCCCATACACATGCTATCCTCCCCCATACACATGCTATCCTCCCCCATACACATGCTATCCTCCCCCATACACATGCTATCCTCCCCCATACACATGCCCGTCTTGCTTCCAGTTGAGGCCGGGAGGTCTTCTGGTGGTTGACAACGTGCTGTGGCATGGCCAGCTGGCTGATCCTCAGGTGAGTTTCCAGGTGATTTCATCAATTTATCTGCTGTGTGATTTTTTTCTAACTCTTGTGATCTCAGGTGAAAAGCCGTCAACATGTCAGTGGCACTTGAACAATGCCCGTGCCCGTGGTCAATGGCACTTGGCCATGCCCATGGTCAATGTCACTGTTGCTCCTTCTGCAGCCTGGCCTATTGGGGCATGCCCATTGCTCCCTGCTGCTCTCCTCCTTGCTGTTTGGTGCTCCTCCTGGCGTTTTAGTGGCATGTCAAGAAAAAGAATGCTTTTAACGCGGCTCACAGACTCAGGGCATTCAACAAATTCATTCGTGATGATCCTCGCATCCATCATAGCATTGTAAGTGAAAGTGGAATGGAGTGTGAAATCCGTGGCACTTCCCGTGCTTGTTTGTATCACTTTCTCGTACCATTCTGCATGGTGATTGTGTGTTCTTACTCTTGTCACATGCCTGATCGAATTCCTTGTTGCGCCAGTATTGATTCCACTCGTCTTGCTTCTTGCAGGTGCCTGTTGGAGATGGCGTGGCATTATGTCAAAAACTATAACTCCATTGTGTACATTTTATTTTACGAGTTTTACCTTTTATAGTGCTTTACAGTACTTGTCCCTCTAAACCACGAGTCATTGTGTACTCGACATTATCCCGTAAACCTCCGCAAACCCCTCGCCCACTTTTGTTGCCTGCTCCTAAAACCTCGACAATCCTAGCACTTAGCTCACGCTTGCATCGTCGCCGTCTTTTCCGCAGCCATCCGCGCTGCGCGACACGTCCTAGACGCAGCAGCGGCAAGCTTCTCTCGCTACAAGCCTTGAGCGTTACAGCCGGAGTGGGCAGCGTAACACAGGTGTTTTCGCGCCTAGGCCGCACGTAAGGTGGAGTGGATTGGAAGCCGGGGGTAGTGCTATGCCGCGAGGGTAACCATTTCAGCAGTAACCACACTCCCGTTTTCGCCATGGGATTCGCCGCGGCGGGTTCGATAGCCGCAACAAGACCATCCCTTGTCCTCCGATGCCGCAATGCGAGTAGTATCCCCGTTATAAGGCCGTCGCAATCTCTTCTCATCCAACTGCCCACTTGGCGATCGTTAGCCTCTCCGCGACCCGAGACACTCGATCTCCCCAACAGACCGCGTAGCCTCTCAGCCAGCCGCGAGTTTCGCAACTCAGCTCGCTGCGAGTTTCGTGACTCCCGAATAAGGCTTTTCAAGTTACCATTCACTCCCAACTTACCTCTGACCAGACAGTCGAATCCAATGCTGTCTAGACTGGTTAGTTCGTCACATATTAGTCTCGCAGCTATTGTGCCGTCAGCGCAGGACGCGGAGGTGGTTACCAGTGGAGAGAACGACAAAGGTGCCCGCCCAACGGGAGCTGAGGAGAGGGGAAGTGTGGAAGGGACAGTGACAATGGCGGCGAACGAGGGACGGGAAGGGGGAAACGGTAGAGAGCACGGCGAGGGAATCGATGGGGTGGGAGGAGGAGCTGAGAGAGCTAATGTGAGGGCCAAGCGCAGGAACAGACGAGCAGAGAAAAAATCAAGAAAGGCGGAGTCAACTGAGTCAACGGAATCAACGGAGTCAACTCCGAGGGGCGTGTCCGAGTGGCGCACGCGCCCGCTCGTCCCGCACGGCGCGTCCCAGTGGCCGCAGATCCAATCCCTGGCCGCCACGTCAGCAGGCGCCAGCCTGTCAATCGACGCGATCTTCGCCACCCTCGGCCTCCCGCCACTCGCGGACGGCCATCCGCAGCTGCCGGTGCGCGTTCGCCAGCACGTGAACCCCTTAAAGACGTCTCTAATGGCGCCGCCGTCGCCCGTGGACTGGGCGGCAGTGTATGAGGACCCGTCGCTGCCGCTGGTGGTGGACATTGGGTCGGCGAGTGGGCGGCTGGTTTTGGCGCTTGCTGTGAGGGACTGGCGCTGGCGCGCGCAGCAACGGGGAGGGGAGAAAAGAGAGGAGGAAGGAGAGGTGGGAGGAAAGGTGGGAGGGGAGGAAAGACAAGAAATGGGGCAGGGGGGAGTGGCTGGGGAATTGGTGGGGAAAGGAGACGCACATGGAGGGGCACCGTCATTCCTGCCCTCCCCGCCGCTCAACTTTCTGGGATTCGAAATCCGTGACAAGCTCGTGCAGCGCGCCGACGCGTGGCGCCGCCAGCTGGCGCTGCGCAACGCGCACTTTGTCGTCGCCAACGCCACGTCAGCACTCGAATCCGTGCTGGCAACCTACCCGGGACCACTCGTAGCCGTTTCCATCCTCTGCCCTGACCCGCATTTTAAGAATAAGCACCGGAAGCGGCGGGTGGTGCAGCGGGGGCTGGTAGAGGCGGTTGTGCAGGTTTTAGTGCCAGGTGGACATGTTTTTGTGGAGTCTGACGTGGAAGAGGTGGCTGCTGACATGTACTGGCAGTTTGCTGATTACGGGAGGGGAGGAGGGGAGGGGGGTGGTACGAGTTTGGAGGGTGGGGATGACAGTGGGAGAGGTGAGGTTGGGAGGGAGGAGAGTGAGGGTGAGAGTGAGAGTGAGGGAGTGGGGAATGCGACCGAGGAGTGTGAGAGTGCGGGAGTGCGGAGTGTGAACGACAGTGAATGTGTGCCAAGGTTTATTCCAAGCAACTTTGTTGTGGCAGGAGGTGTGAGTGGGGAGGAAGGAGAGGGGAGTGTGTGGCAGGAGTTGGCAAGTGGAGAGAGGGCAGAAGAGGGGAACGCAGGGGAGGGGGTTGCAGGGGAGGGGAGTGCAGAGGAGGGCAGAGTAGGGGCGGGAGTAAGGTGGCTGGATTACAACCCCCTGGGAATGCCGAGTGAGAGGGAGGTGGTGGTGCTGCTGCAGGGCTCACCCATGTATCGTGCTCACTTCGTCAAGCAGTAGGCAGCTAGGTTTCTTCACAATCAAGAGATGAGTTTTCTCAGGCACTTCGGAAATTGCAAATCCCTGGGTGGAGTGGGATGGGGTGCAGAGCGAGAGGGAGGTGGTGGTGCTGCTGCAGGGCTCACCCATGTATCGTGCTCACTTCGTCAAGCAGTAGGCAGCTAGGTTTCTTCGTAATCAAGAGATGAGTTTTCTCATGCACTTCGGAAATTGCATATCCCTGGGTGGAGTGGAGTGGGGTGCCAAGCGAGAGGGAGGTGGTGGTGCTGCTGCAGGTCTCGCCCATGTACCGCGCTCTCTTTGTCAAGCAGTAGAGCAAGGAGGCTCCCTCCTTGGCAGATGTGTCGTGCTGTCTTTGACACACTAGGCTGGGCTAGGCTAGGCTCCTTGCATGTTTTTGCCCATATCATGCCTGCTGCCGTGCTTGCGCAGTATTGTGCCCGATTTTCCGAGCAATGAACTTCCTTTCTGTCTCTTCAATCAAGGGATGGGAGGAGGGAGGAAGGGGGGCTCACTGGATTACACTGCTTTAGGAATTCGGAGCAATCGCGATGGGGTGCTGGAGATGTTTAATGCGGTACCAATAATTCTATTAAAAAAAAATGAGTGATGACCATTTTTTATTTCGATTGTACAGCGTTGGAACAATCTAATCGTTCTCATACCCATGATTGCATGCTCTAGCAGGTACATGTTCTTTTTGTACACCAAATGGCCTCTAATGAGTTGACACAATGCAATCACTTTAAATTGACGTTTAGAGTGACTCAACTGTTTATCTCATAGGTTACGGATCGAGTGTTATTTCTTTGACCGAAGCTTGCACAAGCGAATATGTAAATGTGCTGTCATGGAGACATGTGGCACACGACCGAGAAACCACCACCAGAAAGCGGTTCGGGTGCTAGTTAGCGGGAAACGCGATACGCAGCTAGGATGTACATAGGTACAGTCGCCGAAGGCGCTTCGCGTGAGCCCGGCGCTTTGACCAGCTGTTGAGACGTCTTGAAGCCGAGCGCTGCGTTCGTGTAGTCCCGACGCCACCCCACTCACGACCCTACTTACTCGTGTCTCACTTCCTCTCACGTACTCTTACTCGTCTCTTCTCTCTCGCAATCCTCACGCGACTCCATTCACTCGTAGTAGTCTCGACGCGCGTCGCCTCACTCGTTTCCCTGAGAAGCCTCGGAGCGGACACAAGATGGCGCCGCAGCTCGTACTCATGGTACGAGCCATCCCATCTCGCTCGCTTTGTGTACGAACGGTGCATGAAACAAGGCTGGTGCACGAAAACCAGAGTCTCAAGCAACCTTGATTTACCTGAACGCTGCGGTCGAGTCCCTCACTCCGACTGGCCGGGATTGTTTTAGAGGCGCCTCAAGAATCGTTTTTGAGGCGCCTAAAGAATCCATCAAATCCCTCTCTGCCGAATCTATTCAGCGACGTCTTCTAGTCCTTCGGTCTCCTCTCCTTCGCCCCCGTCTTGAGCACCTTTGGCCGACCTGCGACCCCTGTCCTCTCATTCACCCATCCAGTCATTCCATTGGTTCCCTCACCACCCACGCCCTCACTCCCTCGACACTCCCCTCTTTCCCTCATCTCCTCAACCTCTCTTCCACTCAACGCCTCACCTCTGCAACCGCTCATCGCCTCATCCCGCACCCAATCACTCTCACCACCACTGCCTTCCCATCCCACTCAACTTATCCGCCTGAATCCATCCAATCCCCGCCTGCCAGGTGGCAGAGAAGCCCAGCATCGCGCTCACCATCGCTCAAGTCATGTCGCACGGGCAGGTAAATAAGAAGCACGGGCAGGTGAAAGCATTCACGGGCTGGTAAATAAGAAGCACGGGCAGGTGAAAGCATTCACGGGCTGGTAAATAAGAAACATTGGCAGGTGAGGCCATGTCGTACGGGCAGGTGAGGAGAAGCACACACATGCATGCACCCATGCTATTGAGCAGCGTTTTGAGTCTACTCAAGGAGGAACGATGCTTGCATGTCCCGTTCACTTATCTCCAGGTGTGAAATGAACCAGAATCACTGGTTGGCTGATTAACATTGTTTCTTGTCCCCTCACGCCTCTCTTCTTGTCCCCTCCCGCTCCCCCTTCCCGCTGGGCGTGCACGTCCCTGGTTTAACGCCATGCCTCGCCCCTACAGTCCCCCGTTTCCCCTCGCTCGTCTCCCCTCCCCTCCACTCCACTTCCTCAGATGGCCTCTCGTCGTCGCTCCTGGCTGGACGTACGTGTGTTCAACGCTGACGTCAGAGGAGCGCCTGCTCACTGCGCTGCCACTGGGACTGGGGCACACCGCACATGCCCGAGCTCCATTCATCAGACTTCCTCTGCCTCCTCCTACCCCTCTCTCCCCTCCAATCCACTCTCCTAGATGTCTTCCCGGCGCTCCCGGCTGGACGTGCACGAGTTCAGCGGTGACTTTCGAGGTGCCCCTGCACGCTGCGCTCCCTCCCAGCACATGTGTGAGCTTCATTCATACATCCCCTCCCCATCCCCACCTCCTTCCCGCGTCTCTCCCAGATGGCTTCCCGGCGCTCTTCGCTGGACGTGCACGAGTTCAGCGGTGACTTCAGAGGAGCGCCTGCTCGCTGTGCTGCCAGCACACCCCCCTCCCCCTCCCCCTCCCCCTCCCCCTCCCCCTCCACCTCCCTCTCACCTCCAGATGGCTTCTCGCCGTTCCTGGCTGGACGTGCACGAGTTCAGCGGTGACTTCAGGGGAGCCCCTGCACGCTTCAGAGTCACGTCTGTCATTGGCCACGTGCTGAGGTGAGCTTGACATAGTCACACGCGGTCCCTTGACATAGGCGTATACACAAGTTTTCTTCGATATAAGAACTCAACTAGCTTCAACTTACCTGCTCCGTACAGAGTCATGCCTGTTACGGACCATGTGCTCAGGTGGGCTTGAGTTGACATAGTCTCTCTCTCTCTCTCTCTCAAGCGGTCCGTGTATTAGATCCGAGCAAGGTACAGACATGCACAAGGATATAAGAAGCAATGCATCTCAGCTTCTAAAACCCCCACATCCTACCTACCCTCCTTCACCCTCTAAGGCAGCTCCAATGCCGGCTCCAGGATGGCAAGGCAGTCCCCGAGGGACATTCCTTCGCCCGGCAGCGCCACAGGTGGGTTCTCCACCTGAGCCGTGTAGTTGCACTTCGTCATGAAGCTCACTGACTGCGCCCGCTGCAGCGCCACGGACCACCGCTGGCGGAACTGGTGCAGCAGCTTTGTTGCCTGGTAAGATGAGGGGGCCGCGTTGAAGAGCCGGCGCGCGCCGGTGTCGGCCAGAAGTTTGAGGAGTTGAGGGACCTCCGCGCAAGGACAGCCATAGATATCAACGGCAAGGGGGAAGAACCCGACCCACGAGGCCGTTGAGCCCTCGTAGTCGGAGATCTTCTTCTCCGCCGCCTCCCTGGCCGCCCATCCCCTGCCCTTGACCGCGTTGGGATCCCGTGTGCTGATGGCGTCCGTGATGGTCACGTCCCCTATCCACACCGCTCCTGAGGACTTGTCCCGGATCGCAATGTCGGCTTTCTTCAGAGTGACGGGGCAGAACGTAGTCGTTTCGCTGTGAGTCATGAAGTCAGCGTCGGCGGCCATGTGTACACACGCATCGCGCAACTCATTGTGCGTGTTGGTCCGCCCCTTCCCCGTGTCGCAGCGCAGCAGGTGGTTGGGCAGGCGCCTGTCAAGGATTGCCGTCTTATTGGGGCAGTCACACGCGCCAGGTGCCGAGGAGGGTAACCCCATCCTGAACTGCAGCGCATGCGCAAAGTGAGCCGGGGCAAGCCGCAGTGTCGAGTTGAAGGGGACCGCGTTGAGCCAGTCTCCTGCCCCATACCCTGAGAGTGAAAGCATGCGCTGAGTGTGCCCGCTTAGTGGGTTGAGTGGCATGATGCGTGTAGCCTGCACCTGCTCCGCGTAGCGCAGTCCGTGTACCGCGATTGCCAGCCCATGCTGCAGCTTGGCGCCCTTGGGATTAGCCCGATCGCTCTGCAGCAGCTCCTTCCCATCGTCCGGCAGTGACTCCTCACACCTCTCCAACCAGTCAAAGAGCGGGGACGTGTTGATGAAGGGCCCCACCATCTGGATCCGCGTTTCCGCCAAGGCGCCGACGTCCGACTCATCAATGGAGGTGAGCAGGTGCTGCGCTTGCGTGTAGCTTGCAAGGAACCCAACACGACCCTCCACCGAAGGGTCTGTGAGTCCCAAACCACCGAGCGAGATGGGGAGTGACGCTTACGCCCAGGTACGTGAAATCTCGGCCTCCCCCCGTGGGTGGCGAATGCCGCAGGCAGTCAGCAACGTCTCAAACAGCTTTTTACCCCAGTCTGACCACTCCTCGACTGGCAGGGCCGAAAGCGGCGTGGTGCGGGCGACGTAAGCGATCCGCCGTGAGATGCACCGTGAGAGCAGGAGGGAAGCCAGCTGCGGCTCCATCCGCGCGATTAAGGGCAGCGGCACTCCCATGGTGTCGAGGCTGGCACGTAGGAACGCGGCGGTTGCGTCGCTGCCACCGATGAAGCTGCCAAGCACCTTCACCCCATCTTCTGTGAAAGGTACGCCCACTGGAAGCGCTGCTCCCTGCTGGCCAGCCTGAGACCAGGCCGCGCACTTGGCTGGGTTGTGGCGCAGCCCGATCTCCCCGAGGTTTCCTGTGAAGTCCTCAAATGCCGCCGCGCACATGGCTGCATCCCCAAGAAAAGTTACGTCGTCCGCATAGGCTAGACAGACCACGGAGGGGAAGCTGAGCGCCGTTTTCGTCAGCGCTGGGTGTATGGCGGCAGCGAACAGCAACGGGCCGAGGGGATCTCCCTGCCGCACCCCGGTCTCGCTCAGCAGAGGTGGGTGTGAGAAGCCAGCGTCCAGACATAGAGCCGAAGGAAGGCCGTACAGCAGTTTAACTAACGGTAAAAGTGAAGCGAGAGAGGAGTCCCGAAGAGATGTGATGATGGCGTCGCGGTTAACGCTGTTAAATGCGTTCGCCAGATCAGCCTGTAGGACCAAAGCTCCTGTGTTCACCGTGAGGTACGTGCGTGTGATGTGGATAATCGCCTCCGCCCCGCCAGGGACTGCCACGCCGAACTGGTGCGGTAGGAAGAATACACGAGCGGCCCCTGCAGTCAAAGGAAGCGCCGTCTTAGCTGCCAGGCGTGTTATGCTCTCGCCGATGGCAATTGGTCACGTCCCCCCATCGGGCTTGCTCAGGGCAATCAATCTTGAGGCGGTGAGGAGCTCAGCCACCGCAGGAGGTAATTTTCCTGTTAATATCGTGTTGACTAGCGCGTGCAGGTGTTTCCCAACGGAGTGGTTGATCAGCGCTGCATCGCGTAAGTGTTCGAAAGTTGTTCCTGAGGGGCCCGCTCCCACCCCCATCTCGCAGCTTCCCAGCACCTTGGAGAAGACAGCAAACGGTGCCGATAGGTGAGGGTCAGGTTCTGGAAAGTTCCAGTCAGGTGGGGAGGCGGGCGCAGGTGGGTGCTTGGCGCGCAGGGCCTCCAGCACAGTTGGAGAGGGGGTGCTGACTGGCGTGGCTTCAAGTGCCATCACGGCGCGTCGTAGGCTGCCACGTCGTGCCAACCCCTCTGCCCTAGCGATGACACCAATGTCATCGGGCTGGTGTCTGGGTGGTTGGGGCCACGACAGTGAACCCACTGTTTCAGTGTATAATTTGTCCCATTCTCCAGACAGAAACTGACGAAGGCGGGCACTGACAGCCTTCCAGTCTGGGCGCCTAGGTGACAGCTGGCGAAGTGTTAATCGAGCGAGAAACAGGACGACCGTCCATGCAGAAGGTGAGTCTGGATATTTCGCCAAGCGCAGCAGCGGAACCAACAGAGCTGTGGCGAAAAGTTTGCGTGGGTCTGGTGGGAGGTGACGGGAAAGAGGTGCGTGGCGAGAGTCACGCAATTTCGTCAGATCCCAGTTTGACACGCTGGCGAATAGCGTGTCGTCCTTGGCGAGTGATTCTGGGGATTTCTCCTCTGGGGCTTGGGTTGGGACGGGGTTACCGCCAGGTGCAGATTGATGTCCGGCCTGGCTAGGGGTCTGAATGTGGGAATTCGTGGTTGGGATTGGTGCAGTTACAATGTTGCCTGATGCGGCTCGGGTTGGTGTTGGGGGACCCCTCCTAATGGATCTCACTGCTGCAGCTCCCCCCGCCATGTGAGATGCTGCTGCTGCTGCTCTGCCCGCTCGAGCAGGAGTCTGAAGCTGCTCGTCGTCCAAGGACTCAGAGCTGGAAGTCGAGTCAGTGGACTCGGCTGCTACAAAGCTACTGTCTGAAGTGGAGGTTTCATTATCACCGCTCATCTCGTTTAAAGCCCGCCTCCCCGCCTGCTGGTACACGTTTTCCGGTCCACCCCCACGTGCTCTCCCCCCGCGTCCCGCAGCTCTCCTTCCGCGGCCTGCTGTTCTTCCGCCGACTTGTCGGCCGCTGAGTGTCCGCACGCCCTCTTCCCGACGTACCGATGAGTTCCCTTGAAGCTCCTGCCTTGGGGCGAACCGCGGAGAGCGATCCAGCTCCCCGCCCGCTTCCTCCTGCGCGCCCTGCCGCGAGCGTGCCTGTCGCGCCGCCGGCGTCTGCGGATCGGATCCGCCGTCGTTTCGAAGATCAGCAGCGCGCTCTGACCTCGCGCGGGGGCCGGTCCCTGCCTCAGCCGGAGCCTGCTCACGCGGCGTCCGCCGAGCGCTACGGCGGAGTGGGTGTGGCGCACCAGGAGCATTCCCCTCGCCGACGTTCATCTGTGATTCGCGGCGATAGGCGGGAGAGCCGCAGGGAAGGTCTTCACGCTGGCCCGCGGTCGCCGCGTTCGCCTCGTCGCGTGGCGTCACGGAGTCGTTCGCGTGATCGCAGGTCACACCGCCACCGTTCGCCCGCTCGCCCTCATTCTCGTCACCGTTCGCCCGTACGCCAGTCGTCCCGTCCTCGATCGCCTCCGCGTTCGCCACGTCCCTCGAAGCGTCCACGGCTCGACTCTCCTCGTCGCGTGGTCCGTTCCCCTGAACGCCAGCGTCAGCTGGGCTCGTCTCGCCAGCAGTCGCCTGTGCGTTCGGACGCAAGTGGTCAGGGGCGTCGCGGGCGGCGGGGAGGTTATGGTCGCGGGGGAAAAGCGCGTCCAGCGCCGTCCGCAATGGAGCGCCGTCTTCTGGATAGGCTTGATGACGTGGAGAAGGAGCTTCGTCGCTCACGTGCGGGGTCGGCGTCACCCCCAGCTCCTCGCGCTGCTCCCGTCGTCCCTCTCTCCGCGCTCCTGCCTCACAATCCATTCGGATCCCCGGCGCGCTCAGATCGGCCGCTGCCTGCGGGAATGGGCTTCGTAGGCGCTGGTGGCGGGCTGCCGTGGGCTCAGTATGAACCGCCGCGTCCTCTTCCTGCTCCGCGTGATCTCGCCGTGTCGTCTCACCGTGCCCGCTCGTCCGCGTTGCTTCCGCCGATGAAGAGAATTCCCACGGCGACCCTGGCCTGCCTATGGTCGCTGGCGGCGTCCCTGCAGAGCCTTGAGCGGATTCTCCAGGAGTCATATGACTCCATGCCGGTGAGCCCTCCGAGCAGGTTCTCTCAGAAACCGCGAGCTGATTGTCATGCGGCGGCGTCAGCGCTATTCGCGCTCGTAACGCCACTGCAGGTAGAGCCCTCGCCGGGAGCAGCCTCGGCCAGCCAGCTGGCTGACTCGGCCCTGGCTCTGAGGACGCTTGTAGCAGGTCCTGGTACTCCCGTTGACATTGTAGGCGCCACCGTGTTAGTGGTCCGCCAGTTGTGGTTGAACACGAGCGGAATGCTCGCTGCGGTAGACGCGGACCGCATGTAGGTGCTCCCCCCTTGCGCGTGTAGACCCGTTCCATTATCGTGTTGCTAGGTGTCGATGCTTGCCTTGCTTGTGTCTGATGCCTAAACTACTGCTTGTTGTTCCCCCTTGTCATCCCGAGCGCGCGGCCGAAGGCCGCGCACGCGAGCGCCGGCGCGAAGCGCGAAATTTTTTCAGAATGAACTGAATACTAAGGATGAAGAAGCCACGAGAGCCTTTAAGTACTCATGGGAGAGGGCAGAAGGGTGAGTGCAAAGGCAGAAGGGGAGAGGCTAATCCTCTCTCTCTCTCTCTCTCAAACGGTCCTTTGTATTAATTCAGCAGGGGTACAAACATGCGGTGCTATCCATGATAACCTCCATCCCTTAAGCCCCAAAACTCACCACTCTTCTCCCCCCCCTGAGTGACCCTCTAGCCCTCCAGCGTGTGGAGGATGTCCCCCAGGTGCAGCGGCCAGGGGTCCGCTGCCATCTGGGGGTGCGCTGCCTCGATCCCAGCCCTGGCCTTGGTGTGCAGGGCATTCGCCTGGGAGCGCTGGAGGGCCACTGACCAGCGCTGGCTGAAGTGGCAGGCCATCTTCTTGGCCGATTTCGCCAAGGGGTTGGCCCTGAACCGGTTCCTAGCTGCTGCTGTGGCCAGCAGCTTCAGGAACGCAGTCGTGGTGGGCGCGTTTGCCCCGTAGGTCTCGACGGCTAGGGCGCAGAACACCACGTGTTCCGTGTGTCGGTAGTACTCCCTCTCCTTCCGCCTCTGTGCCTCTCTAGCAGCCCAGCCTGGGGGTTTGCGGGCTGTGGGGTCCCGGTTCTGCAGCACGGGGTCTGTGATAGTGGTGTCTGTGATCCAAGTCTCTCCACTGTCCGGGTCGCGTACAATCACATCGGCTTTCTTCGGGTCATCCGGCGGTGAGTACATGGCGTTCTCCAGGTATACCACCAGCTCTGCTTCCCTTGCCATTTTAGCCACGGCAAAAGCTAGCTGGTTGTGTGTGCGTGTCCTGTCGGGGCCTGTGCTGCAGCGGAGTAGGTGGTTGGGTAGGCTGCAGTCGGCTACGAGTTCTCCACACTCGCACACAGTGGGTACATTCTGTCGGATGCCCATGCGGAAGGCCAGGGCTGCTCGGAATTGTCCCGGTGAGAAGCAAAGGTCCGGGGTCAAAGGTAGGGCCTGCAGCCATGCTCCCGCTCCCTCCCCTCTCAGGCTGATGAGGCGGAGTGAGTGACCCATCTCGGGGGCTGACTGGATGGTGCGTGACTCCTCTGTCAAGGCGTCGGCCTTTGCCGCGTGCACCTCCTGAGAGAGGGCGCGTTGCAGCTGGTCTTGGGACGGGGTTTGCTGCTCCTCCCGGAGGTTTTGTAGCGCCAGCGGTGGCAGGCGCCCCTCCATGTCCTGGATGGTTACCGAGTGCGCTGCGGACGGCTGCAGGGTGTTGTTGTTGGCCCCCAGTGCCGCGGTTGCTGGTAGGTCAAGGGAGCGGAGCAGTCGTAGCGCCTCCGTCGTTGATGCCAGGTAGGCCGGTGCTGCTTCTGTTGTGGGGTCTGTAAGTCCCAGCCCGCCCAGGGCGACTGGAAGAGTTGCTTGTCGGAGCAGGAAATTGAACTCGGCTTCTCGGCGTGGGGGTTGAATGCTGGCGGCGGTCAAGGCCGTGTGCAGTAGTTCGGAGCACCATGTGTGCCATTCCGAGAGGGGTAAGACGTCTGCTGGGGTAGTGCGTAGCAGGTAGTTGATTCTGCGGCTGATGCAACGGGACAGTAGCAGGAGGGCATGTTGTGGGTGGATGGACGCCAGAGAACCCAAGGGGGCTGCCGCGTCTGTCAGGGTACTGCGGACAAAGGCAGAGCAGAAGCTCTGCGACCCCACAGGACTTCCCAACACCCGTACCCCCTCGTGGGTGTGGGGGAGGCCTTCAGGGAGCACGACACCTCCAAGCGGCATGGAGGACCACGCCGACGACTTCATAAAGTTGCAGGTGAGGCCATCCTGTGCTAGTAGCGGCGTGAGCTCCCTTAGCGCGTCTAGCGTCGCCGTCGCGGGTCCAATCATGGTTATGTCGTCTGCGTACGCGAGGACGGTGACTTCCGGGTGCTCCGCTGCCACGTGCCTGAGGTGCTGCTGGATAGACGCCGCGAGTAGCAGGGGTGCGAGGGGATCCCCCTGTGCGACTCCCCTTCCGCTGGTGAGTGCCGTGGAATTGAAGCATGGGTCCAGCAGCAGCGCTCATGCTCATGCGTAGAAAGAGCGTGTGAAGGGGATGAGGGGGGCTAGCGGGGAGCCGATAAGTGCGTTGAAGAACGCGCTCCTCTCGACTGAGTTGAACGCGTTCTCAATGTCGAGTTGGAGGACTAGGCTGGAGGGCTGCACGGTGGTGAGGTCTCTGACTGCATGGATGACGAACTCAGCACCTCCCGGGACTGCCACGCCAAATTGCTGAGGTAGGAAAAATTTTCGCGTTTCTCCTTGCAGGTCTGAGAGTGCCACTTTCGCCGCCAGCCTAAGCAATGTTTCTCCAATCGCGATTGGGCGTACCCCCCCCCCTGGTTTGGCGAAGGCTATAAGGCGGGACGGGGCGAGTAGGGCTGCAACCTCGGTGGAAAGGTTTGTCGAGAGAAGGTGTTTAACGGCGGAGTGGAGGTGCCCTAGTACCTCGATGTTACTTAGCGCTGGATCGCGGTAGTGTTCGAAGGTTGACCCCGATGGGCCAGCCCCAATTCCCCTGGGGCATTCCCCGAGGACGACCGAAAAGCTTTCCAGGGTGGTTGAAAATTGTGTGGGTGTCGTGTAGGAGTGGACCCAGTCGGGCAGGTCATTTTGGGGTCGGGGGTGTTTCGATTCCAGCTGCTGCAGTGTCGCGAATGTCGCCGGTGCTGATGGCGAGGGTTGAAGGGCCGCTAACGCCTTTCGCAGGTTACCCCTTTTCACCAACCCCTCCGCACGTGAGCAGATTCCCAGCGGGTCACGTTGGTGCTGAGGTGGTTCGGCCAGGTGCATTGACCCCAAGTATTCGGTGTACAGCTGGGTCCAGTGTCCACATCGGAATAGATGCATCTGTGCCCGCAGCAGTTTCCACCTAGAGCTGGATCTCCGGCTAAGTCTTAGCGTGAGACGTGGCAGGAACATGAGGACCCGCCACGCTCCCGCGCAATTAGGCAGCTTTGAGATCCGTAGTAAGGCAGCCAGCATACAGGTGGAGTAGTCGCTGAGGATCTGCGGCGGCAGTCGGCGGACGATTGGTTGGTGGGTGATGGATGTTAGGAGCGTAAGGTCCCAGGTCATCGCGATCTGGAAAAGATCCTCCCGCGAGGCCAGCTGGGACGCAGATAGGGCTTGGTCCGGTGGGGGCTGGGCTCTGCGCTGCTGTCTGCGGTTGGTTCCTCTCTCCTGTTGCTGCGCCACCTCCTCTCCTGATTCCGCGCGAGGTGAGTCGGGATTGTCTGGTTGCCTCAGATCTGACGGTATATAGTCCTCGTCTCTCGCCTCTCTGATGATATCGACGTTCCTCCCTGCTTGCGCTGGTGCACCACCTCTCGCCCCGCGCCTAGCGAACGACTGCCGCGTGATTCGTTCCGCCGGCTCCCCTAGCCAGATTGGGCTCGGTGGTTGGCGCCCGCGCCCCCTCGCCGCTTGACCTTCGCTCCTCTGTCCTCCGCGCGCTCCTCGTCGCGATCCTCTCCCCCGCGCGCTTCCCCGTCCGCTCTGCGGGGTCCCTGCTGCTAGCGCCGCCTGTTGCGTGGGGAAAGTCGGGGTTGTAGGCTCCCCTTGTGTTGGAATTGCGCCTTGTGCTTGCGCAGATGGCGCTTCCGTCCGCCCACGACCGCGAGTGTACCGCGGAGAGTGCACCTGTGCTTCCGCCACGCCCGGCGGTGAGCGTTCCTGCTCGTCCTCCCGCTGCTGCGGACCAAATCCGGCGCCGATTTGAGGACCAGCGCCGTCCTCCCCGGCCGCGCGTCGCTGATTCGCCTCCGAGAGTGGCAACCCGCGCGGAGTCCGCTGTGCGTTCTGGCGCCTTGGCGGAGCCGCACCGGGGGCGTTCTCCGCGTCGTCGGACGCCTGAGCCTCGTGACGAACGCTGCGAGGGGCGGCGTGAAGATCGCCGCGAGCGTCGCTCCCCTCGTCGTCAGGGGAGCCGCAGCCGTTCCCCTGGGCATCGTTCGCCAAGTCACCGTTCCCCATCTCGCCATTCGCCTCGCTGTCATTCACCCGCGCGCCGATCCTCAGGGCGTCGCTCTCCTGCTCGCCGTTCTCCGCGCGGGTCGCCGGTGAAGCGCCAGCGGCGCCATTCTCCATCGCGTCGTGAGCGATCCCCTGCGCTCCGCCCGCGCAGCACGTCCCGGCCCCAATCTCCAGCCCGCTCGTGGTCGAATAGTCGTGGGCGGCGTGGCAGTCGCGGGGGCCGCGGACGCGGGGGCGGGGGTCGCCAGTCTGCGTCGGACTTTGCGCGCGCCCTGGAGAGGCTTCCGGACGTGCTCGCAACTGCTCTCCGTGAGTCGCAGGCGGCGACAGCCTGTCGCTCCGTTCCGCCAGACGCTCCTCGTTCTCTTCCCGCCATTGTCGAGGTAGCCAACCGTGCGGTGTCCCCGCAGCGCTCTGTCCAGCAGCCGCCTGTTCTCCCGGGTTTTGTTGGCGCTGGCGGAGGCCCAGCAAGGGGTCCGTATCGTGACCCTCGTCCTCGCCTTGAGGAGGCGGAGTATTCATGTTCCACGGCGACCCTGCGTCAGCTGT